CTGCCCCTGAGATGAGGAACCAATGCAAACCTTGTCATATATCATATCATACATGTATATCATATGTTGTGCTGTGCATCACCTGAATAATCAGCCTTTCTATCAACAAGTGCAAATAGTATCCTACATTTTCCATTAGGCAATCTAGGCAACCTTACATCCAGATAAGCTTCAGAATAGTCTAGGCTACAACATCTGTTAGCTCCTATACATCCTGCCTTATAAAAACCAAAGAATGTTCTTAGTATGCCTCATTGTAAAAATAGCTTATGGGCTAGGCTACTTCACATTTTCCATATTACTGTAGCAGGCAACCACTAAAAAGATAGCTGGACATTATAGTTCCACGCCATGGGTTGAAAGAAAGTGGGATACTGCGCAATTGTTTCTTAACTGAACTCCGGTGGTCCAATAAAGTGTCTTATACATCTGCCTTGGATTTGCCACGTATTTCCACACATCAAGCGGCGTATTCTCGGAGAAACCGAGAAGGCTCACCGCTGAGAATTTCACAGCAATGTGAAATCGTGTGAGATCCCTGCTTGTGTGTAGGCCACGGTCGACATAATGTCACCTTGACGAGAATCTAGAGGAGCACGAGGGGCGCTCAGCATCTGTCTAGGACTGGACAGGGAGAAAGGGTGTGTGCCGGCAAGTGTGTATGTGTGTGAGAGAGGCAGTAAAGCCCGGCTCGGAGAGTTCGCACGCACGGAGGATCCCTCCATTTGGTTTCTTCCACACGGAGATGGCTGGATTTCACAGAGGTAGTACTATATACTTCCACGTTTCCTTTCATATAGGTATAGCAGTTTCTGAAAATGGTTTATTTTAGAATCTGTTTGTTTTAAGGGGTGTAATTATGTATAACTATTTAGTCAACGCTGTTATGGCAATTACGGGCTGTAGGCCTAGTTAACATAGGCGAATAACATAATAATTACACCTACCCTAATAGGCAATAATAATAATAATAATAATAATAATAATAATAATAATAATAATAATATGACTAAGCCACTTCATCGTGGCTGTTTTTTCTTTTCATAAAATTTGCACGGTAGGAATTCCAGTGAACGAGGCACTGTGGAGCGCCGTTAGAAGTTACCGCTCCAAGTCAGCCTAGTTTTACATCTTCCTGTGCAGCGCGACCCTCGGTTAGTTGTCCGGTTTTGATACATGGTATACAGCTTTTGTCAGATTTGACTTTTCATAGCAGGTTAGGAGAATTTACGCAGCAGTAGGAGAATTAACGTAGCAGGTTAGGAGAATTAGGTTAAGTTTAGGAAAGGAGTTAGGGTTAGCTAAAATGCAAAAAAATAATCCACTTTTGACGTTAATTTGACAAAAACTGTATCCCTTCTAGCCATGACTTAGTTGTCCCCGACACCTCCTCTTTCTTTAGCATGTGACATATATTTTATACTCAGTTTGCGGGAGAGATTCAGTTCATCCAATCGCGTTTCGAGAGGGGCGGCTCGTTTTCTCAACATTTGACAGGGATGATTCTGATCCTCATGACGTCACCCGATACCCAGCGCTCCTACAGTCAGTCAGCGAAGGGATGCTCTGAACGCAAGATTGCAGCATCTTTCCTGAGAGACTACAAACAAATCGCATATCCCTCTAGCTTTGTATCCGTTATCGGCATTCTCTTCCCTTTGGACCCTCTTGCCCTCCAACATCGAACTGCAGGGTGTCTTCATGTACGAAAGGAGGACCGGATAGAACACCATATGTTTATTTCACCACCTTTCCTTTCCCTTTATTTATTTAACCTCTTTGTCGTCTGTATATTTTTGTTTTGATATTTTATTTTGTTGACCATTGCCTAGCTGCAATACAGAGAGGAGCGCCATCGTTCTGCATTGCTTGATAGGAATACGCGCTTTATTGCAGTGGAATTAAATAACACACATATGAAGAAATTAATGGAAGATTAAATTAGCCTACTTTCTACAACACGTTTATAGTATCTGGAACGGGACATAATTGATCGGTTCATTGGATTTTTGTTGAGGTTACGTTCTTCCATACGCAGCGCAAGCATCGTCTTCCTCAGTTAGAACAAATAGCCCATACTCTGCGTAGCATCTCGGTATTCTCTGAAAAGTCGAGGATAACGCGCAAGATATTCCATTCGCAAGAATATACGCATTTTCGATTTCTGAATCGCTTCGTCTATTCAAAACATTTTTTTTTCAATAGGCT